GGGGTATGGCAAGAACGGGGAGCTGACCGTGCTGCAGGTACCCAAAAACCCCAAAAAACACCCCAAAAACATCCCCATAACCCCAAAAACACCCCAAAAACATCCCTGGGACCCCAAAACCAGCCCTGGGACCCCAAAATCCCCGTAACCCCAAACCCTCCTGTGCTCGGGCTACGGCAAGAACGGGGCGCTGACCGTGCTGCAGGTACCCAAAAACCCCAAAAAACACCCCAAAAACATCCCCATAACCCCAAAAACCACCCCAAAAACATCCCTGGGACCCCAAAACCACCCCAAAACCAGCCCTGGGACCCCAAAACCACCATAACCCCAAACCCTCCTGTGCTCGGGGTATGGCAAGAACGGGGAGCTGACCGTGCTGCAGGTACCCAAAAACCCCAAAAAACACCCCAAAAACCACCCCAAAAACATCCCTGGGACCCCAAAACCAGCCCTGGGACCCCAAAACCACCATAACCCCAAACCCTCCTGTGCTTGGGCTACAGCAAGAATGGGGAGCTGACCGTGCTGCAGGTACCCAAAAACCCCAAAAAACACCCCAAAAACATCCCCAAAAACATCCCAAAAACCCCAAAAACCACCCCAAAAACATCCCTGGGACCCCAAAACCAGCCCTGGGACCCCAAAATCCCCGTAACCCCAAACCCTCCTGTGCTTGGGCTACGGCAAGAACGGGGCGCTGACCGTGCTGCAGGTACCCAAAAACCCCAAAAAACACCCCAAAAACATCCCCATAACCCCAAAACCACCCCAAAAACATCCCTGGGACCCCAAAACCAACCCTGGGACCCCAAAATCCCCGTAACCCCAAACCCTCCTGTGCTCGGGGTATGGCAAGAACGGGGAGCTGACCGTGCTGCAGGTACCCAAAAACCCCAAAAACCACCCCAAAAACACCCCAAAAACATCCCAAAAATGCAAAAAACCACCCCAAAACCAGCCCTGGGACCCCAAAATCCCCGTAACCCCAAACCCTCCTGTGCTCGGGGTATGGCAAGAACGGGGCGCTGACCGTGCTGCAGGTACCCCAAAAACCACCCCAAAAACCCCCAAAACCACCCCAAAAACATCCCCAAAAACCCCAAAAACCACCCCAAAAACATCCCCAAAGCACCCCATAACCCCAAACCCTCCCTGTGCTCGGGGTACGGCAAGAACGGGGCGCTGACCGTGCTGCAGGTACCCCAAAAACCACCCCAAAAACACCCCAAAAACAGCCCTGAACCCTCAAACTACCCCAAAACACCCCAAAACATCCCTGGGACCCCACAAACCCCAAACCCTTCCCTGAAGTCCCAACCCCAAACCCCTGCTGAACCCCCAAAACCGCGTTATCACCCCTGCACCCCAAATCCCTTGTGGACCCCACAAACCCCAAGCCCCCCCTGAACCCCAAAACCCCAAATTCCCCCCGAATTCCAAAACCCCAAATCCCCTGAACCCTAAAACTCCCCAGAACCCCAAAATCCCAAATCCACTGTGAACCTCACAAACCCCAAATCCCTCCTGGACCCCCCCAAAACCCCAAATCCCCCCCAAACCCCACAAACCCCAAATCACCCCCAAACCCCCAAAATCCCAAAACCCAAACCTGAACCCCAAAACCTCAAATTCCATGTGGTCCCCCCCACAACCCCAAATTCCTCCCCAAACCCCAAATCCCCCCCAAAACCCCAAAATCCCAAACCTGAACCCCAAAACCTCAAATCTCTCC